TCCAGAAAGAGTGCTCGCTGGAGAGGAAAACTGAGATATTGTTGTTGTTTTGCGTCCCCCCCCCCCCCCTGTTCTAATTTGTTGTTCGTTAACGCTGCCCTCACACCTGAGCCATCGGGCGTCGGGGGAATACTGCCACAACACATGCTCCTTCTCAGCCTGCCTGCTCCTCCATTACGAGCTCAACCCGCACAGGGGGAGTTGGGTTTGGGAGAGTTGGGAGAACCGAGGAAGCAACAGCGTGCAGATTTGGAGAAAAAAAAAACAAGTATACGCAAAGAAAAAGAAAAGTTCAAATAAAAATCACAGATATGACAGAGTGTGATGGGCAAGGCATGTATGTCTGAGGCCACGTGGTGGGGTGCAGCTGTCTCAGGGAGCGCTGAGGTGAGGCCTTTTCGCTTCAGTGGAGCAGAACGAGGGTGGCGTTCACACGCACACTCACGCACGCACACACACCAACAACGTAACAAAACTTGTGCACAAATACACATGCGTACACAGGTAAAGAGTTGCTTTGACAGAGCAGCAGTGAGAACAGGACAGCTGCGCTCTTCAGATAGCACAGGTCACTGCCTCATTAACACTCACAAAAATACACTCAAACATGACAAATTCAAATCAGACGGAACGTAGACACTCAGACTTGTTGCAGATCACAAGAAGGGATACAGAAAAGTGATTCTTCTTTCCCAAGCAGCTAAAAATGACTCTCCTTTGGTTTTCTCCATCATACCAACAGCACAAAGTCTCTTTCTACCTCAATTTCTAATCCAGATTTGTTGTTACTTGAGGCTAAAGCTAACAGCTAGCTTGAAAGAAGTAAACTTTCTTAAAACTAGTCTAAACTCTGGAGCATTAAAGCAGTTTAAAGTCACGTTTTTATGAACTATAAAACTTTTGTTACATTTATTTGCACTACAAATTGATTTAGGACCCCAATGGTCTTACTGCATGAAATGTAGGCCTACTAAATATAGAATTTGCATTTTCTTTAGCGTTAATAGCTAATTATGGAGACATATGATGGGGATCTTATCCTTTCTTATCCTGTTTGATGCAAAAGCAAAAATAGTCCATATATTTCAACAAAATGCTAAAATAGCTTGAAACTTTTAGCTTTTAGCTTGAAAAGTTAGCTTAAAACCAAAACAGCATTGTTGGTAAAAAGTTTCCAACTTTATTTCTAGATAAAAATTAGAATAGTAAGCAATAGTTTGCTTCAGTTTTAATACATATGAAACATGTCTATTTATTATAGCCCTACAGTAAAGTGTTGTGATGTTTTTTTTAAAACAGAAGTTGCTTCAAGATGGCGGAACTATGTTCTGGCTAACAGCTAACTGACTGTTAGCTTTTGCTTCTTGGGCAATCTAATCTGTATTATACCAAGTTAAAATGTCAAGATGGTTGTTTAATGTATATAAGATATTAATAAGGATTCAACTAGACAACTTTTTTGACGTTGTTGGGTAGTATGAGCTGGCCCCAAATGGCTAATGGTAACAGCTAGCCAAAAGTGGATTTCTAATCTTTTAAAGGCCAGCTTCATTCTCAAGTGTCAAAGAAGTTTATGTGGGTACAGTTTTTAAAATTTCAAACACTCCAATAAGAAACATGATAGTTTTCTGTTATTATTCTTTATGGGGTATGGAGGTGGAGGCAGTGCACGAGGATTATGTTCCTGAGGGAAACGAGTTCTGGGAACATCAAATCAGGATGAGAACTCTGATTATAACCTAATATAACATTAAGCAACATTAAGAACAAATCATAACTATCGTAGCAGCTGTATAGGAGATATCTCTTTTACCTATTTTGCAGAAACTTACTTTATATTTAAATGTTCAAACTGTCTATTATTCTATAAAGTATCAGTTTCACCCAGGAAGATAATTGGTGGTGCACTGCCTCCAACGTCTCTTTCTAGGAACAAACTATGATCTGCTCCTCTCTCAATATCCAATATAAGCATTTCTAGGTCAACAAAAAAAATGAATAATTACATTGATGTTTTTGTCACTTTGTTTCTTATAGGAGTATAAAAATGGATAATTTTGTAGTGAAAGCTGAAGAAAAGGTCTAGGTTAAGGGAGGGATGAAGACTAAAGTTCACTTATTTTCTAAGAATTATTCCAGCCTCAACACCATTTTGAGACTGCTTTCATTACGTTTGCATTCGATGGTTATTTACAGACCTCGATGATCATTTGCTCAGGAGGATTCAATGCTCTTCCCTGAAGAATTGAACATTTCAAGTGTTTACAGTTGTAGTAAAGGGCAATATAAAATGACGATCTATGACAGGAGTACAAAAAATAAAGCCCATATGGTCTTTCATTAAACAACCGACACCCCGGGCAACTTATTTGCCGCCAATGTTCCAAGGTGTGATGCCCAGCAATCTTTTTCAAACCTGCAACGCTCAGAAGCGTTGATACTAATAAAACTGTCAGGGAGAGAAATCCAGTTATTTGCTAAGTCTCGTTGGCAAAGTATGGCGCCCAGCGTGTGTTAAACTCACCTACTGACACATGTTGAGGTCAAGGTCAACCTCAATTACACACTGTTACACGTTTAAAGGAAAGCCTTTACAAGTCAGGTAATAAAAAATGAAAGATTTGCTCCTATAAAGTATTTAAAAAGTATCTAAACTTATATCAAGAGTCCCCAAAATAGGAACATCCTTAAAAAATGTTTAGGAGGACAAACCATTAGCTTTAGCCTCCTAATCTGTAGAAATCACTGCAGGTGAACTTTCTCACATAACTTCAAAAAGGTTTGACCATAGTTACTAGTCAGAAATAAATCAATAAAGTGTTTAAAGACAAGGCAAGAAGGAGAATTTGATCTTAATACAGCAGAAGAGTTTTTGGAAGGATAACCCTTCAGAAATCGTCCAAAGAGAGTGCCAAACAACTAGAAGGGCCTATAACTATGGAAGAACTCCTTAAAACCATTAAATTCTCATCCAATGGAGCAACCCCAGGCCTGCAGGGTATTCCCAATGAGTTTTATAACAAAATTTACATCTAAGCTTGGTACAGAAATATTAAAAACCTTTAATTCAGCTATCGAATCGCATCGGCTCTCCGCATCAATGAAGGAAACACTAATTACTGTCATTCCAAAAAAAAGGGAAAGACCCTTTGGAATGTTCAAACTACATGCCAATAAGTTTGCTGTGCGGTGATGCAAAGTTATTCACAAAAATATTATAATTGCGGATTAATAAGGTCATAACATCAATTATACACACTGGCCAAGCATTGTGTCGCAGTGAGCTTGTTCCAGATATTTTTGATTTATGCCCAATATTGAAGCGTGGTCTGCTCTATGTTATTCTACGCCACAACGCCAGAGGGACAATCAGGAACTAGCTGTGGGTCTAGATACTGTGGGTCTAAGGCGGTGAGGAAGCGGGGGCAAGTTTGTGCGACAACGGAGGGACATGATTGCGAAAAAGAGAGAGGATCCAGGTGGAAAAAGGGTCCCAGCGTTCTCGCGCACCTCGGACTTCTAGCTGGTCCATCTTCACCAGTCGTTTTCCACAATGGCAGTCATACAAACTAAACAAGCCGGTAAGGTACCAAACAGGAAGTACGCATAGTGTAGAGGGGATGTAGATTTGACCAATCAGAGGCCTCCTGTCTGCGGTCACCTACAATTTGTCTGCGGCGGGGCAGAGGAACATTTACTTTCACTGCGACACACGCAAATGACCTGGTTTCTGAGTATAAATCAGCATTAAGACAATTACTTCATCGTACTTGCAAGGCACAATATTCATACCTTCCTGTAGCGGCCCTGTCACTCGACGCGGAAAAAGCATTCGACGGAGTCAGGTAGAGTTATTTATACTATAAACTTGGAAAATTTGGGTTTCGACACCCTTTTTTTAAGAAATAATCCAAATTATATACAAAGATTTTTTTTTAAACGGCAACAACCAATGGATCAAGATTGACCCCATTCTTAATCGAATGCGGTACTAAACAGGGAGACCCACTGCCACCCGTGTTCTTTATTCTCGCACTCAAACCCTCGGCACAGCCCGTCAGACAAAGCAAAATAATCAAAGGTATAAAAATGGGTGGACTAGACAACAAAATGTTGATCTTTGCAGATGATGTACTACTCCTACTGTCAAAAAGTTGAGCCTTGTTCTAATGGAGGTTTCTTCCTGTTCAAAGGGAGTTTTTCCTCTCCACTGTCGCTACAAGCATGCTAAGTTTGAGGGATTGCTGAAGAGTCGATGCAATCAGCTGGTTTTCCTTAGATAGAAAACTTTAAATCAATCTGACTGGATGATCTGGTGAACTGTAAAGTGCGGTGAATTGAATTGAAAAAGTTGACCTCTCTGTTTAGATCTGCATGCACGGGGGTCCAGATAAACGCCTCACCATAAAAAGCACACACTCACACCGTCACACTCACACCGTCACACTCATACCGGAGGCAGGACAGTAAATCTACAGGGCTTTTCTTTTTCCTGACCGGCCTTAAATCACACGAGCCGCAGCATCGCTCTGAGCTAGTTTATGACAACAGGAGAAAGGCGCACACTTTAAGGCAAGTTGTGTGTGTTTGTTGAATGCACACTGACACACACATCCATCCATTCGCCCCCAGACTGGAGCTGTAACCCAAACTGCTCATCAGTTAAGTCATCAGCACGACCACACAAACACTGTTTGACCACACTTGGAGCAGAGCTCAGCTCCATCCACTCAGCCCTGGAATATAATTTACTGCTGCTTCATGCATTTTTTTTTTTTTTTTTTTGCTTGCAGAGAACATTATACGGTCACTGAAAACAAAACAACAACCTGCGGCCCCTGTTTTCACGAGGTCTCTGTTTTCCAGTCAAAAGTTCACCTCCAAACCTGCTTTAATCTTAAATGTTCATGTCTTTCTTGCAACGCTGTGGGTTTTTTTTTTTTGTACAACCGTTTGTGTTTGCAGGAATTGGCCCGGTGTGGTGTCAGGGGTTTGCTTACCTGTCGATGATGACAGGGTCTGACGGGGTCTCGTTCCTGTTGCCGCAACTCTTCTTATCGCAGCACCGACTGCAGGGGGAGGCGAGGGGGGGTTAGTCGGCGTGATGTGAACAACAGAGAGAGCAAGATAAGACACAACTCAAACGGGAGAGAGAGGAAGACAGATGTCGAAGCAGGAAAAGAGAAATCGGGGAGCAAAAGGGCGTGGGACTTTTTTGGTGAGGTGGTTTGGATTTCATGGTGAGACTGGGGGCTTCTGTGGATCATTTTAGGTGAAGTTTAGGGGGGGGGGCAGCTCGATTAGGAGCTGGATACAAACTTGAATTAGCCTCCAGGGCTCAGGTTAGCTCCATTTCTGTCAGACATCACACAACCAGACATCTTATGTTCTCTATTTTTCCTCGTCGCTCGTCCCCCTCCCTCTATCCCACCCCTCTCTCTCTCACTCTCTCAGAAGTGGGTCACAGAGTGGTCCCACTGGACCTGGGGAGTGGTGCATGCTGGGTAAAAAGGGGGCTGCATACTGATGTGACGAGTCCTCTTAGAATGATTCGACTGCAGCGCGCCGTAACCCAAAATCTACCACATCTACCTTTATTCCTGTGAGTGTCTGCATGTCTGCGTCTTCCCTGCATCATGTGTGCTTCCACTGGATGAGTGTGTGGGAGGAGATGGAGGAAGACAACTGAGAACCTGACCCCCCCTCTCCTCCTCCATGCTTTCTCCAGTCCCCCAGGACCACAGGCTTGCAGAGCCAGATCAGATTTCTGATCTCCACCGTTTCCTGCAGCATATGAAAACAAGTGGTCCAAATTGCCTGGTGCGATAACCAGGAAGCGGCTACACACTTGGCCACCAAGCGGCCGCTCTTGTGGGACCCCCCTTCGCATGCTTTGCCTGATGCTTCTCACTACTTTTGGAGAATGAATTCATATCTGCGTTTTCACGTGAAATCCGAGTCGGCGCATAGCTCAGTGTCAGGACAAGGCAAACTGCCGCGTATTACACAGGGGCCCGAGGAGGATGGGTTTGAGTAATGAGCTTTTCCTTGTCCTAATTAGCCGAACATGAGAGGGATGCACACACAAGCATGCACGTGCAAAACAGAAATAGGCCAGGGCCCATCTCGTCTCTCCATCCCACTTTGTGGAAAATGATAAGATTTCTATCGCAGTTTAGCCATGCACTCTGTGTCATTTCTTTTTTTTTCTCTGAGCTACGAGGGGGGATAAATAAAGAGATTTGTTGTGAGTCTAGCTTACCTGCACATGATCTCGTGGGTCAACAGAACCCGACACATCTCTGGATTTTTATCCTGACCCTCGTAAACAATCGCCTAAAGGAGAGAAGAGGAACAATCACTGAAATAAAATGAAAAATACATTCAGATGCAAACAGCTGCTGCTGGTTTCTCCGTTTATGTTTCAGATATTTTGCAAGACGATGAATATGTTAGAAAAATGACACCTTTTAGTTTCAGTACAGTTGGTGCTTTGTTTAGGATTTATTTACAAAAACCACCAGCGGCACAGTTTATAATACATTTGAACACAATGTAAAGTTTATTTTAATTATCATTGATGCATTACTTTAATAACTTACTTTTAATAAGTAAAAAAATAATCATTGAGCCAGGTCTGACATGACATTTTTTACATGAAAGCTGCTAGCCTGGAGGCTGGATGAAGACTTTTCTTTATCTTTGGAGGACTGGAAAAAAACAAAATCTAGATAAGTCATTTTTTCTTAAAATAAGTGCATTTGTTCTTGGATTGAGGAGGAAAAAGAGACATTTTGCCAATAGACCAAGACAATTTACACTTAAAATAAGAAAACACAATCGCATTGTCTTATTTCAAGTGCATGTTATGTAATTATCTTATTTAAAGAATAAAAATACTCATTCCATTGGCAAATCTTCTCATTTACCTACTCAAATTAAGGGTAAATACACTTCATTTGAGAAATTTTTACTTATTTCTAGATCGTTTTTCCAGTGAGGATGGTAGGGATGGAAAAACATATTGACACTGTAGTTATGAGACATCTTAGGGGACCCATAACTGGTTTTTAAGGTCAAAGATGCCAGAAAAAGCCCCCTCTGTCCTACCATCACAAATGTAAACAGGTGGAGTTGGACAACAGACACGGGAAATTTCCATGGAAGTTTTTAGTTTTGTCAGAGGAGACTAAGATGAATTTATGGCAGCAGATACTGCAGGTAGGTAGGATGGGAAGCAAAGGTTTTTAACACATCCCAATCCCACTGTTAAATACGGAGGTGGATTTATGATACTGTGGGCCCATTTTTCTAACCAGATGGATTTGCTCCGCATATCCATCTGGAAACCTTCCGTAGAAGTAATTTTGGGAAGGGGCGAAAATACTGGTTAGCTGATTGGCCTATGTTGGTGATAGACGGGCCAAATAAACCAATCAGATCAACGACGCATATGACGTACTAACAGAGCGACGACGAAAACACAACCACAAGCCAGGCTACTCTTGCCCAAACCAGTCGGGAGAAGAGCAAAAACATATTTTCCTCTGAGAAAAGCCTCCAGAGCAGTGTTTTGCTCTTCTTTCAGTGAAGAAATACTCTGTAATTGCGATAAAACTTGCTCGATAGCCACGCTAACGCTAGTTTCATCGGCTGAAGCCGCCATGTTCCATGTTCTCAACCCGCCTCAAAGCCAACGCTGATTGGACGTTCGTTTGGCGAACGGCTCCAAATTTTCTTTAACGGAGAGTCTCCAGACTGATTAGCGAGTGAAACCTTGAAAGCTCGTGAGATCAGGATGGTCTCACGAGGCTACCATTTTTCTGCTTAAGCCCTGTAAGCCTTTTCAAGTTCATGGATCTATTAAAATTTGGGGATAAATGAAAACATTTTAGGTCAAAGATCCAAATAATCTGGCCACAGAAAACTTTTAACATATCATGTTAGTTCCCAAACCTTTGGAATCCAGAGTCTGGACAAATTAGAGGGCGTGTGAAGAGAGAAGAGGTCAAAGGTCTCTGACTGTACGTTCCAACCTTATAAAGTGGGATTAGACACCGCCATATTGGCTAAAAGCTTTTCAGGTTTTAAGGTAGGTGGATTCTGGAAATCATTTCCAGAACTTATAAAATTATACTAATCAAAAATAATTTGTTCTGGTTAGAGTTTGATTAGGTCACTGCAGTAAAATACAAACATACTTTACATCAACGTCTTTTTTCCTTTTTTTTAATACATTTGTTTACTACTCTAGATCTATATTCATAGCTATATTAATACCTAGCTTTTAAAAGGTTGAGCTTTCTTTTATTTATTTTACTTTTGCTATTATCAGTCATTTATCTGCTTTCCTTTCCTTTTTGTCACCTTTGTGTCTTTGAAAGTTTCACATCCTATCCGCTTTGTCTCTTGAATGAAACGTCTATCATGCCTTTACGAGGGGTAAATATTCCATTCTCCTCCTTTCTAAATGTGCCCCTGACGGCGTACGGCGACCAGCCCCGCCGTTCTTTATGCCTGAACCGCAATGCGATAAAAAGATAAAATAAAAAGTATTCGTAAATTCATTTTTTTGTTTTGTTTTCGCAAACTGTGCTGATGGAAAATCAACCAGGACTTCAAGCCAAATAAAATAAAAAAAAAAATAAAAAAGAGAGATGTGTGTGTCTTTCATTTTGGTAGAAATGTTTGTCTATCTGGCAAATGCACGTATCGTGGGAATCCAGTCCTCCCGAAACAGGAACGCCGTGTTCCGACAGAGACGGTAAGAGGGAAAATTATTTGTATGTGTGTGTTTGTGTATGTGGCGAAGATGTGTTAGCGCTCGCACGTATGTTTGTGCACGGTGTACAGTGAGCAGTTGGACTGCCAGACTGGAGTATAGTGCACCATCTGGTCCATGCAGCACGCCGTCCAAAAATCTAGTCTGGTTACCCCTCCAACCTCGCTCAACATGCTCTCTAGGGCTTGATCACCCTAAAATCCCCCCCCCCCACCACACACACACACACACACACACACCAAACGCCTGATAAACAAGCACAAACACACAGCATCTCCTCCTACTCTTTTCATTCTAACACAAACTCTCTTCCAGCTTAATGGCACTAGAGGCAGAATTGGCAAAACAAAAGACCTGATATGAAAACAGTGATGAGGGGGCTTTACTTTTCTCCTCGCCGTCTAATTCAGCCCCACCAAGAATTCCCTCAGAGTTCGCCAGCTAACATGAGCGCCACTCTGTATTTCTTTTGTGCGACTGCATTGGCCACAACACCACACTCCAGAATAGTTTGTTCTGTTTCACATTGAGGAAATGAGGGTCAAGGTCCTCAAAGAATGAGCTGGCATGCATCACTGTCTCTCTCCACCGCTGACACACAACCGTGCGATATGCACACACATTCCTCTCTCTTACACACATTTATATACATAAAAAACACACACTTTGCCACCATCCTCGCCTGCAGGCTGCTGAGGAGAGAAGGAGTATGAGGACACATGTCCTCTACTTTTCTGGGCCTCTGTAAATGTGTTCCACAGGTAAGACAGGTCGTTTATCAAGCCGGCTGGGCTCTGCTGAAAGTTAAGGGTCTCAGACACAGGCTTAAAAAAAGGCAGGGTGTGTGTGTGTGTGTGTGTGTGGAGGGGTAACTTCTACATCAGCAGGACAAACAAACTAGATTAATTCTTTTTTTGTGTCTTTCTTAAGCTGCGATGCAGGATTTGGTTCCTACCTGTTTAGTCATGGAGTCAATAAGTCGAACATATAAATCCTGCTCTGTCCTGATTCCTGCAGGAAAACAGAAAAAGGTGGAAAAGTTTGACCCATTTAGACATAATCAGTCTGTTTCCTTCACTATAAAAACAAAAAAACTAAATCAGGAGTCCAAACTGTCCAGTCAGAGGTCATTTTCTTAGATAAACTTAGACATTTGATCACTGCTGCACTTTGTAAATGGAAATGTTCATTTCACGTTTATGATATATGACGTTTTGTATAAACTCTCTGTGGACTAAATTAAATTAAGTTTGTCTAAGTCAAATTAAATGGTGATTAATTCAACATAAGTATCATATAATATCTGGATTTAATGTTTTATCTAAAAGGATGGCTTGTTTGAAAAAAAAGAGCATGTATTATTTATTAGTTTCATTGAAAGAAAATAATTAATACATAATTAATAAGGAAAAATATAGAATTATCTGAAAAATGTCAATTTAATTGAATTAAAGTAACATTTATTCTAATTTTTTAATATATATATATATAAATTGGGAGCTAAAATAAATCTCACCGTTACTGTAGAGGAGCTGAAGCCTATAATGAATGCCATTGTTGGTCTTTTCCCCCGTCGTTTCCTATAAAAACAGAAGCGAACACAGAGAGGCGGTCAGAGCGAACAAACCCTCTCCTCCACCTCCTCC